TGTTATCAAATGCATGTTTGTTTACTAGTAGTAATAGTTAAGTAGTATTATTATTTTGAGGAAGAGGTTTTTTGTACTCAATTAATATTTTTTTTGTAATATGAATTTTTGGATGTCAATAGATCTGATTAAATAATTCTAGACCACTATCAATTTTATTTGTGTTTATGACTCTTATACGAACTATAAGCGAAATAGCGTATTGCTGTCATCTTTCGTACATTTTCAAGATGTTGATGGCAAAAACCTATAATTTATTAATTTCTGCGGTAATTTATTTCGATGTGATCTATGTACTTTAAAATATTGATTATTTACAAAACTGCTGCGTAATCATAATTTTTTATGTCAAAAATCATGAAAAAGGACTATTTGTTAAGTTCATTGCACAGCTCTTGTTTACACAATACATGTCTCAAGCACAAAATGTTGCGAAAGAGGAAACGGAGAGAAAGAGAGAGAGAGAAAGTTTCTCCAGAAAAGGGAGCTCATCAAGCCTTCCAAAATGATGTGGTTTGTTTATCTTGAACGAAACTTTGCGCACTTATTTCCAGAGTTGACGACAAACCTTGGGAACTTCCCCTCATTAGGAATCCAAGATCTGTATCAAACGTTTGCTCCTTACCTCAATTTTCAGTTTCAAATTAAATATAATATTTATCAAGAGACTTTACTGCTAATGTTTGCTTTGGTATAATTCAATCTACATGTTTGATGAGATTCTGCTTGCTGGGATCATTTCAGAAGACCCAATTACTTTTTGCAGCGCTATAATTTGATTGACTCTTCTCATGCGATAAATAAATCTCTCTGAAAAGTAAAAATCTCGTGAATTTAATGAATGCGAAATTTCTTTAAACTTTTTGAACATTTTGGATGAAATTCCAATGGAAAAAAATTTCAGAAAATCCGAAATTTATTAGATCTAGGTCATTGAAAATTCACAAGGTTCCAGCGGATATTGGAAATTCGATTGGCTGCAAAAACTCGGTGCCCCGTACGTGTGAGCGCACTCAAGTGACAATAATAGTCAATCTATAATTCAATCAAAGTGGTTGTAAGGCCGTGTAAATATCAGCACGTCATTTTTGTGTGCTACATCTTAAAATGATCCACGCCTGTACGAACGACCCGAACATGTAGTCAATAGAGAGAATCCCTACGACCATTTGGGCTAATGACCTCCGATGGACGAACTGCGAAATCATTCGCCTCCACCTCCTCCCTTCCACCTATCGTAGCCCTCTTTTGTGCGATTGCAGTTTCAAGTGCATTTGCTGGTTTCGGTATTGTTCGCGTGAGCTCGAAAAAACCATCATTACGAGAAACGAGGACGCTATTGTTGTGGACTTTACTAGTCTTCATTTATACTAGTAAAAACATTTTTTTTTAATATGAGTGCTCAATCTTTGGTGTTGTGATAATGCATTAATTGAAAATGTTGTATTCTTTCGTCATGAGTATACTTTGTAAGTGCAATTGAGGTACCACATGCATCAGTGCGTTATGTTTCCGTTGTTTGAATTGTGTAACCAAACCAAACCTAGACAATGGTTGTCTGAGAAAGATAAATAAATCATTTTACTTTCTGTTTGTTTTACTTGACGGTAGAGTTATCCAATCAAAAAGCAAAGTGACATCTGAAAAAGCAGGTAAATATTTTACGTAATGCTTTAGTTCCAATATCAATAAGAGTATAAAAATAATGAAAAATCCATTTCCGTCCATTTAATATGATTAATACTGTGAAGTTAAGATTTTTGCTCTAGTCAATAATTCTGTCAATTTTATTGAGGAAGTAAAAATAAATATTAACCATCTCACTCCTCATCTGCCAAATTAGTTGGCAAAATTGACATGATTGGCATAACGTTGAATAAAGAAAAACCTTAGGATCCTTTGATTTTCCTCATCTGGACACTTATTTATAAATCAAATGGAAATATAATCTAAAATTGATATTTTTTTATCCTAGATCAAATACGCAGCACTAATGCAAAGCTCGGATTAGCCCCGAATGTTGGGAGTTGTCGTTCTCGTCCCATCTATAATAACCGTCCAATATTGAAACCATAGTATCAGTTTCGTCATAGCAGCTCAGAGGAGCTTGGCTTCTGTTATTATTAACTTATCATATTCCACCAACACGACCTGCTCAAAGTTAAACCAACATCTACACACCCCTCGCTCCCTCCTGCAACATAATCTCTCGTTTATCAGTCAATTAGCCTCTCGCGACTACATTCGCGAAACGCTCGTAAGAAAATGAAATTTAGCTCGTGATTTGTTCCGGTGTACGCGCGGGTAGAACTTAATTCTCGGCTGGCAATAATCGCCTTAGCCCACCCTCAAATTAATTTTCTCGAGTTATCCATCCCTCCTCTCTCTCTTTCTCTGCCCGTGCTTTTACCCGGGCGGTGCTGATGAAGCGATGGAGCAGCCGTTCAATTGAATTCGTCGGGATCGCTACGACACCGTCGCTTCCACGGTATGGATTTTATTCACAGCTGGCGCATCAAAGTGAACGTAAGGCGCGATTCCCGACCCTCCAGCTTGATTGCCCCGAGTTTTGTATCCGATAAAGTTCAGTTGCGACGGATACAGCCATTGCTTCATGCGCGTTTCGTTGAATGAGTCCCTCCAAGTGTGTTTTGTACAGTTGTTAAAGTAGCGTGTTTGAGGAAAAGTAAAATAATGAAAAAAAAAAATCTAGTGGTGATGGCAACAAGTATTAGAAAAAAAAAAACGAAATTTTTCCATTCCGTGGATTACCAGCTATTGATTTCTATTTGAAAAGTAAGGGCCCATCAGAGTTCAGTTTGAAAACAAGTGCATTAGCTGCAAAGTGTAAATACAAGCGTTTAATTAGCATGACGCATGACGTGTACAATATTATACCATTCGAGTTGTACAAGCCCACAAATTAATAATATTATAGTACGTTGTTGAATCAAATCGAAATTAAATCTCATGAAGCCTCATTATTTGATTCGATGCTACACATTTACCGCGTACAGCCTGTATAAAATGCTCGTGATTAGGTTTCCACTCAATAGAGCAACACGAGGATGTATCAATGCGGTTCATTGTACCACTTGAACAAAAGCGCATCAAGTTTCCAATACATCGGCAAAAAAAAAAGAAAAAAAATCCAAAACGCGCAATGGCTCACGTATGTCGAAACGGCGAGCGAAAACCCGGCAATTAAATCAGCAGCAGCAGCGGCATTGCCGAGCACATCCAACACCGCCGGGCACGAGGTAATCCATAATGCATTAGCGTAAGACAGTGCGCAACGAAACTGGAAATATATATACGCGCTCCGCGGCTTCGGCAGGGAGAGACGACGCGGGGCGAGAGGAGCCGCAAGATAAATGTGTTTTTCAATTCTACCGCTGATCCCCCGCGCTCGTGCGAATGCATAATCGGACGGATGCGCGGCCGCGTACGTTTTTCGTACACCACCATCCGAGGCAGCGAAAAAGCGGCACGCGCTGTGCAACGGTAAAAACTGATTTTTTGCAACTGCATGGACAGGGAGGGGGATGACCGCCACGAGGAGATTAAAACGCGATTTAATTCGGCCGCGTTTTCCTCGCTCTTGCTTTATCGTTTTTCTTTTCGGCTCACCGTGTGGAAGGTACATGCGAAGTCGAAAATGCCTGCGCCCCCCTGGAAATTATCCTTTGTGACCCCGCCGGGCGTAAGGGTAATATGCGCGCGGAGGGGCCGTGAATATTATTCGCGGTTTCGCGGAATACGCCAGATTACGATGTTTTTTTTTTTTTTGTTTTTGCGTGTAATGCGAACTCGGATGAAATTTTAATACAGGGCTCCTCGTGCAAACGGAGCTCGGCCGTACGTGGAATTTAGATGCGTTTGCCTTGTCCGCGAGTTGGTGAGAGAGACAGTGGAAAAATATAATTACGCTTTGAGCCCAGTCGTTCGAGCAGACGCGAGATTACAATTAACATCCAGTGTAGATTTTGGAAGGATTATGTTGGTAACCATCGCTTGTATAGTTTGGTCAGTTCTGTTTCCTATTCTTTAGTGCAGAAAGCAGAAAAACTCATAAATATGGGTACCCGATCGCCAAACAGGTATATTGTCCTATAGTCCCAAATCATTTTCCCAGATCGCTGGGCCGCGAAAATTGAAACCAACGAAGCGAGGCGCGGTTCCTCCTCCCTTTGGCTTCTCTCCTCTAATCAGGCGAATTACCCGCTCTGAAAACCGAGAAAACCCGCATCGGCCCCTTTCTCCCTTCCTTCAAACGTATATATCCGAGGCAGTCTTCGACTGCTGCTTCCCTTTTCTTCAAATGGAAGCTCGTAAACCCGCGCGACACCGGCAACAGCGACTCGGTATATATATGCTTCGAAAACGAATTCGAGACTCTCTCTCTCTGTATCGCTTTAGCCTCCGTAGATCTCGGAGCCTCCCTTTATACTTCCCATACTTCGTTATACCCCTTTCGTGTTTCACGAGTTTTTCCTTTGTATCTATCCTCGTTCAAGCTCCTCTTTCTCTATTCGTATGAGTGTGTGTGCCCGATACTCTTACCCCCAGAAAGTGACTACGCGCGAATACGATACAAAGCGAACGCGTGAATCTGCCTATATGGCTTGTACAAAGGAGGGGTATTAATGAAATCAACGGCAAAGGTGGAAAAACGTGCTGATAAAGCAACAAAGATATTACAAGTGATTTTTTTTGTTTTGCATTGATGAACCCATTCCGTATTTTCCAATTTATAATGGGTTGCATCCCCGATGCCTGTGTACATTTTCATGGTCCTTTGATCGTACTGGAGTCGAAAAAATACGTTTCTGAGCATTTGGTGATTTAAAAGAACCTTATATTATCATGATGACGTTGAAAGACCTTATCTCAACCTATATAGGTCATAATTAGTATCATTTTAAGGAAAAAATGAAACGAGAAAAAGAAAGAAGATTGTTTAATAGTATCAAGGGTTAGATGGTTAAAAGAGCACTCACCGGCGTTATTACTGGCGTAACTTAGATCCTTACCTGAAACAGACAAACAAAATCATGAGAACTTCCGGTAGGCCATATAATTACATAGGCAAATGTATGTAAGTTAATGTTGTCGTTAAAACACGAGACTGCGTGAAGGACAGGACAGTGGGTCACTAGGGCTAAACGCGCCTATCACGGAGGGAGAGGCGCGGAGGCAACGTGACTTTTTGGGCTGCATCGATTTCGGATACAGCGATGAGGGAGCCAAGATGGGACCCGAGTGAGATGGGGAGCCCCTGCAGCTCTACCTCGGTCCCATTACGGGTGTATCAATTACGGCTCGTTCGTGTTTCGCGAGCGTTAAGCCCATCCAGCGACGTACCCCTGGCCTTTGCCTCGAGTAACCATCTGGCCTCTCCGGCTATACACACGTAGGTATTGAGAGATGAAAACGCACGCGAGACCCCACCACTCCCGTCTCCTCGAAGGCTTAGTTTGCGTGGTTACAGCGCCAGTCTCAATTACATTAGGCGAACCGCTGGAGGGGGCCAATATGCCAATAGCACGATGATTATCGTGACTGACGCACACGAACGTCCATCTCTCTTACTCTTACTCCCTCACCCGACCCCTCCTTTCTTGACTCTCTCGTTATCTCTACTTGCTTGTTTTGACTTACAAGGTGGCTTAGAGATACGTAAGATGTAAACTGTATGTGTATGGGTTTGTGGAGTCTCGGGTTACCACGGAAAGTTTGCAAACTTACTTTTTCATGAAATTCGGTGTTTTCTTTTCAGAATTGAATAGATAAGAAACGTTCATTCGTAATTATTTTCATGTATTTTATTGATAATATAAGTGACGACCATTCAATTACAAACGTGTGTGATATAAAAATTAAATTCAAATACGTCTAATGAAGAAAACATTTTTCACATTTTTATTCTATATGCTTGGCATTTACAAATAAGTATAGTAAGAAGTGTGGATATTCCAAGAAAATTTTTTTAATTTCCTCAGTTTTTAAAATTTCTACATTTTCATAAACAAATTGTTTGGTAATTTTTTTCAATTTTTCAAGTTTATATTGTTCGACACTGACAAGTTTCAATATTTCGATTATATTTTCTTTTCTTATGCTTGCAATGAAATATTTTTCACACAAGTCTTGTAAGTCGCCCATCTGCAAATAATGAGCCAATTTATACAATTGATATGGTTGCCTTTCGATGTTATTGTATTCATTGGTATACATATAAGAGATTAAATCTTTAACAGTGCCAACATCGTAGTTATTAAGTTTGACTTCACCTGTTTTTTTTTCAAGCATGTCCGATTCAATAATTTTTTCGAAAACAACACTTCTAGCAGCAAGCAAAGCTTTATGTACATCAAAATGATTATTCTCAACAGTAATTTTAAAATCACAAAATTTTTTGTTTTCAAATAAACATGCCCAACCTCTTATGAAAGAGCTTGAGTCATAATTCGAATTGTAATAAAATGTAATATTTATATTTGCGTCCGGCACTACAAATCCCACATTAGCTTCAAATACTTCGTCTCGAATGCTCATGGTGGTAAAGATACCATTTATTCTTACAAAAAACTTGAAGTCCCGGACTTCATACCATTCATAGTATTCATTAAAATTTAATTGTATTTTAGCATTATAAAGTTTCCTATTTATATGTTGATTGGTAATCGACACATTACATAGTTTATTGCCCAAATACATTTTTTCCGACGATTCATTGAACATCTGTAACGTCAAACCAATAGATGAATAATATTTTTCTATGAAACGATGATCTAAAATGGATATCTGTTGTTCTGACCTGGAATATATTTTCATATTACAAACTAATAAAAACTATCAATGATTGATAAATTCAATAATCTTACATTTTAAGGATAGCAAGCCTTGTTGTTGTTATCGAAATATCAACTACTTTCTGGAGTTAATTATTGCGTTCTGCCAGCGATCGGTACAAACAACTGTTTCTCTTGAAATAATAATGCAAATATTTTAAATCAACTGTGAGTCACAGCCTGTGACTATCGCTCACATTATCGTTGAGCAGCTTGTGCTTCCGAACTTCTCCAATGGATCGGATGCCAGAGTTGAATATATACACGACTGCGTGGTAATGCGATCTAAATTACAAACAGAGATAAAACTTGTTAAAATCTTTGGCGAAATTGAAGCTATGTGGTTTTTACTTCATATTATATACTTCACTGATTAATGGTTATACTCCAGTTTTAAAAACAATACATTTAAAAAGAAAACTAATAGAAAACTTTAATTATGCTTTCATAAAAAATTAAGTTATAAATTATAAATTGTTAGAGCAAAAAATTGTTTTCTAACATTATGTACATAGTATTGATCGCAAAATAATTTACATGGTATTGATCGCAAAATAATTTATATAGTATGAAAGTAAATCACTGCCTGTGATACTTACATATGTAAAATATTTTTCCGCCTTCTAACCTCAAAATAGCACTTTCGCCGCTTGATTTTGGGTTCTCAGGCGGAAAAATAGTGTACGAAACTCGTTTGAAAAGGTTTCTTTATGAACCTCGTTGCGGCCCTCGCCTTCGGCTCGTACCGTAAACCTCTCGGTTCGTAAATCGAAGCCTTTGCAAACTCGTACGCAATATAATAGTATCATACATCACATAACAGCTAATTATGTAAATTTTCTGCCATACTTTTACTCTAGGTAGTATTAATCATTAAAAAGTAACTGAATATACTTAATACCTTATACAATCACTACGAAAGCGACAAGTGTTGGTACTGGGTAACGTTGCTGGACATCAAACAATAGAAAACAGCAGTAGACACTGAAACGCTCTCGATGCGTGGCAGTAAGAGACTAAATAAATACGCCACGTGAAGGAACGTACCTACTTCACCTCAAAGTTCTTAGTTTTGCTCTTTGTCTCCTTTATGTTTAGTTCAGATTGGGAAGCCGGTATTCGCTACGTGCACAAGCTGAAAAAGCGATCGCAGCAATACCTGTGCTAATATGTGAAACTAAACGGTATGTTTGTCTTCTGCTAGCAGACTGCTAAGCATTACTATCATTAGAAAGTTATGTGTTTATACATCGACAACCATTCTAAGGGTTAAATTTTTAATAAAATTATGAGTAGTATGTACATATTTTACTTAGGCATGTTCATTAAAAAACGCAATGAAATACATTGGATACTGTGTATTTCTTAGAGTTTTTAGCTGGGGCCTGATCCTCAAAGCGTATCGTATGAACGTGTGTACTTACATACTGTGTGAACACGCCGGTATAGGGCTAATGGAGCTCTCTGATTGGTCAGAGGAGGTCTGTGTTGACTACATTGCAAACTAATAAAACATATCTCGTATCACACAGTACACGGACTTGTGTTGAAGTAATACTCAAGCGCTTATAGTGCTTGTAGTACACATTTTGTCCTTAGTTATTCACATAGGATTGTACCACTTGAGACATTGTATTAGTTCGTGATATAATAAACACAGAACCTTTCGTGTATCTATCGAGGTACTGTGTTCCTATAGGTATCAAGCACATATCGCGAATATTGCCTTCTGCTGTGTCAGACCAATAGTTCTCGTTTTTCCCTTTATCGACACTTCTAGGGATCACAGTATTCAATGTCAGCAGTGCATGGATCACGACTTGAGCTCTTTATTGAGCCCTAAAATTTTATCATTGCATGTGAAACAAAATTTAGAAATATTTCCAAGTCGTCACTTTTGGACGTGACTTAGCTGTCAATGAACGTCCGTTTAATGTCAATCTAGAGTTTTGAGTCGTTGTTACTCAATCATTTCTTAACCGTAACTAATCGTTTTCATCAGAGTAGGAATAACTTTATACCAAGTGTAGGTGGAGTATCGTAAGATCCTAATGATTTCACAATAAAAAATACCTCGACACTTTATCGTATTTCAAGAGCTTGACTGAAAAATTTCGAGCGCCATGCAATCTACTACTACAGAAACGGGTGTAAACAAAAAAAAAATAAGTGTCATAAATTGTGGTATATTCTAAACGTTGATTCCTTCATAAGTTTTTCTGCGAAAATCATTTCACTATTTATTTTAACCATTACCTAGTCGATTTAATTAATTTATTTAGAGTGTAGATTCTGATGTGAGCTTCCAGCTTAATAAAACGCTACTGCTATTGTTCTCTCGAGGCTCAATAACGTTAATTATCGTACTGCAGAGAAATAAAAATAAAAAAAGGATGATTTCGGCTACAGCTAATGAAAAAGTGTAGAACGTAAAACGAGGGAAGGAGGGATGTTTTCGTAATTTTCACGGTGGTGGGTATGTGCATGAGGGTAAACAAGAATATATTTTTAATTTGGGTCGCTCTGTTTTGTGCACCGTAATTGCCGCTCCTGCGTAGGTGGAGAGATAATATATAGTAATAAGGACTTTTTGTTACGACGAAAGCCAAAAGCACAACTATTTACGATTTTTTTTCGTTTTTTCCTTTACGTAAAGTACGTGATTGTAATACTTAGTGATATCATAAAAAAAGCTTTTGGATTCAGTTATGTAATCTTGTACGGGCAGCGAGACGAGTTTAACAATACAAAAAAATCTCATCAGTAAACAGTTAACGAATGGCACCTACAGAGAAGACTATTTTTTTGAAAACACGAAAACCAACAAAAAAAACTTTATATTTATGTTAAGGTAAAAATTGTCAATTATTCAGCCATCCCGAGCCCTACCAAGCGAAGAGGCGCTTGATTGCGTTTTCTCTTGTGTACACGTACTACATTGTCGCTGCTGAAAAATTAACAGTGACACTGCGCAACAATTACAAAAGAGTAACCGCAGCGTTTGTTTTTACGTTTTTTTCTGTACGCAGTGGTGACTGTAATTAAAAATAAGCAGGTTAACTAGAGTTTGCTGTAACATCAGTTTTCAACGAAATTCTCCTATGCAGCAAACAAATAACAACGTACCGAAATGTTGATACAAAAAAGCTGTATGAAAACTTTTTCAATAAATACGATTT